AGCAGGAGCTGTGTTGCTACCAGAATTGGTAGCGGAGCCTTCCTCGAAAGAGGAGGCTCGTGCGAGAAGAGTGGAGAACGAGCTTGCTTGGAAAGATCCAGGGAGAGGAACTTCGCTGCTGCCCTTCGGCTTCCTGTTCAGCACCGTGCTCGTGGCACCTCCTGTGTCTTTGGCGAGCTGCTGACCCTGAACCCTGGCGGCTGGATGGACAGCGGCCGGGACTCGGTCCCGACCTGGGATGGCGAGCCGGCTGGCTGGAACACCTACGTGAGGCGTGTTCGCCTCCAGTGGGAAAGGACAGCGAACCACAAGAAGAAGCTCCTCGGTGCGGAGCTGGCAAGTAGACAGGCCGCGCTTGGGATGTGAGTGGCGACCTGGACCATGCCAGGCTCCAGACTCGTCATGGCCCAGTGTATCTTCTTGAATATTTGGAGCAAAGGCTCGGCCGGACTCCGATCCCGGACTTGGGCAGCCGACTGGAAGAGTTCCTGGTGAGACTTCGCCGGCAGCCTGGCACGAGGATGGTGCAGTGGGCCGCGGACCTTCGAGAGAGCTACCGACGCCTGCAGCGTGCCCTGGCCAGAGCTCGCGGAGGCCAGGCAACTTCACCAAGGAAAAGGGCAACGAAGGCAAGTGGATCGACACCCTCCTCCTTGCAACTGCCCCTCGACCGGAGGCGAAGCGACACCACTGCGGAGCCGGAGCCAATGGACGCCGACCATGAACCAAGCGAAGGCCGTGCCTCTGACCCGCCTGTGGCGAACGAGAGGACTACTGGCTCCAGGGCGGCCTCGCGGACTGGCGAAGGAGGCTGGACCGCGGAGGAGTGGGAGCAATGGTGGAACTCGAACAGGACCTGGTCACCAACCCGCCGGAGATGGCGGGATGACGACAGCTCTGGAGATGAGGGCCCGGAGCCTGAGTGGGAACGCTTCCAGCTCAAGGAGATCGATGTTCTCCCTGTCGAGGTGCTGGGCTGGCTTCTGCTTCGACGGGGCCATCTTCCTGCTCATGCTCGTCTGGCGGTCTTGGCGGCGACAAACAACCGGCTGGAGCTCGACCTGGTGGAGAAGGCCATGAGAGATCAAGAGGAAGACCTGTTGCAAGCAGATGACAGGCGTGGACCTCGGCGGTCGTACTGGGTCGAGTCTGGCGGCGAGTGGGGCCTTCTGATGGACGACCCCTACCCCGACGAGAACCTGGCGGACGTGCACTGGGTTGGAGACCGTCTTCCGGAAGAAGTCCACCCCATGTACTCAGCGGAGCTCGAGCAGGACGTCTGGTGCACAACGAGCCATGGAGACTCCGAGGTCCACTGGACATATCATGAAGGCGACTGGTGGACTGAAGATCCAGAAGGCGCCTGGTGGACATGGTCCGATGCAAAGCCGTGGCTGGACGTGAACGAGGCCATGGTAGTGGACCCAGAGTCAGGAAAGCAGATGTCGGAGCTCCTGGCGAACTTCCAGGATAGGGTCAGGACCTTTCAAGAGTCTCGACAGCTTGTTGCTTCAAAAAATTCCTCAAGAGGCTTCTACCCCCTCAACAAGGGGAAGTCGAAGTCAAAAGGGAAGGGCACCTTCAAAGGCAAAGGCAAGAAGGGCGCCCGCTACTCCTCGACCCCGTCTTCCCCGACTTCTTCGTCTACGGCTTTGGCTGCCGATGGCGGCGGCCAGCGACCTGGAAGCTCTGCCTATACCGGGTGCTTTATCTGCGGCAGCAAGGACCATGACTTCAGGCCCTGCCCAAAGAGAGGTCAAGGAAAAGGAGCCGCACACTTTGTCAACGCGAACTCCGGCATCTACATGGTTCACGGCGCCGGCATGGACACGACCGACGGCACCACCCACGACACGAAGGCCATGCAGGACCTGCCTGTGTATGCTGCCGCCGGCCCGCCTGCCGAGAACCAGCTGCTTTGCTACACGCACGTTGGCCACGGAGATCCTGAAGCTGGCCGGTCCGAGGGCATTATTCCAGAAGAAGCTCTGTCTGTGGCCGGACAGCTGTACCCTGGCTTCGCTGTAGTGGACAGTGGTGCTACCGAGACCGTCGGCAGCTTGGATGCGCTGGAGGCCGTGGTATCGATGAGGCGTCGACAGTATGGCCTGGAGAATGTCCAGGTGTTCCCCGAGGCCCAGCGCAACTTTCGGTTCGGCAACGGCCAGCAGCAGCGGGCGACTTCGTTCGTGGAGGTGCCCCAGACTCTGAATGGGCGAGCTGTTGCTTTAGGCGTGTATGCCCTGGATGTTCCCCGAGTTCCCATTTTGCTCAGCATCCGGACGTTGAAGCGTCTGGGCTCGGTGATTGACTTCGAGAAGAAGACAATCATTTTCAAGGCTATCGATCCGGGAGTGACCATTGCTCTTCATGAAAGTGCTTCCGGGCACTTGCTGCTTGACCTTGTGCACGACTGGCTGCGACAGCCAGGCAGCAGCCCGAAGAATTTCTCCGGAACTGTGCTGAGCAGCGTCATGTCCCGATACAAAGAGAGTGAGGGAGCAGCAGGGGGACAACAGGAAGCAACGTCGAACCAGCCGGGAGCCACAAACATACAAGAGCCACCACAAGCAAGTCAACGGCAAGATCCCCAAGGACCCGAACCAGGACCTCAACACGTTGGCGACATGTGCTGCATGCCAGTTGCGGAAGTGCCATGTGAGGGAGTGCAAGGGTCCGAGCAGACATGTTTGAGCCGACAGCAGCTTCCTTCTGACATCCCAGTGTACGACATGGCATGGGATGACAACGAGCTTTCGGATCAAGACGGTCCTATGGGATCACTCTCGAGCTTCCGCGACTCTCCTGGACATCCTCTTCGCCATGGCCGACCGCAACGCCACCTCCGTGCAGAACACCGCGCCTCCAGCTTCGACGGCAGCGGCTTCGAACGAGATCCCCAAGTCGAAGGCGCGACCCAAGAAGGCCGACCGCGTGAAGACCGAGTACGACCTCGATCGCTCGACTGGGCCAGACCCAAGGGATCCTCGAACCGCTGGAGCACCTTGCTTCGGACCCCGCCAGATCATGAAGCCGGGGCGCGGATCACTGAGCGGCGCAAATGCCCATGGCCGCTGGGAGGTTTGTCAAAACTGCCGGCTTCGAGTCCTTTACGTCCCGGCAGTCGGAGCTGCCTCAGGACACTGCGGCAGCGGTGCAATTAATTGCACAAGGAGAGAGTCGAGGCAGGTCAGCCACCCGAGACGGAGAAGCTGAACGCAAAGAATGTTGCGCTCCAAGGAGCGAAGGACTCTCTCTTGAAGAAGCTAGAGCACGTGAGGGCCCAGAAGGCAAAGGCAGCGGCAGGGCGGGACCTCCGACGCCGACTTCGACTACGACCACGGCGGCACCACCTCCGGCGGCGGCTGCGGCGACCAGCGGCTACCCGGAGGGCACGACCGTGGAGAAGGCGGACGACAAGGTGAAGGGCACGACCATGGAGAAGGGGGACGACAAGACGAAGGGCAAAGACCGTGGAGCAAAGCCCAAGGCAAAGGCCGCACCGACAATGGTGGAATCCGAGTCGGATGGAGCCCCCATGGATGCGGAGAACGAGGCCACACATGTGCCGAAGAAGGGTGCCAAGCGAGATCACAACAAGCCAGCCGAGGTACAGGAGAACGAGACCATCCGAGCCAAGGCCAGCCCGACCACGAGCAGCACGGACGGCAGCTGGCAGCAAGTGTCACCATGAACCTCGATGCGGATGGCTACTTGGTGAACTTCGGCCGGCTCACCGAGGGCGAGGCGACGACGATTACAGAGTCCATGAAGGGCGTGACCGCCGACATCGACGAGGCTATGGCCGAGATCCCCAAGGCGGTGCCTAATGGCATAGATCTCCTGGAGGTGTGCTGTCCGGGCGACAGTAGGTTGTCTGAGGCAGTTCGGGAGCGAGGTGGTCAAGCCGGACGAGTTGGACTTCACAACTTCGACCTGTGCACAAAAGACGGCGTGGACGGAGCGCTGGCCCAGGCACAAGCTCTACATCCTCGATACATGTGGATCTCGACCCCTTGTGGACCTTTCTCTCCGATCCAGGCCTTGTTTAACGAGGCCACCGACGATGCCAAGCGGAAGAGTGGATATCGAGGGCTCGGAAGGTGATCCGTGCAGCGATCAAGATGGTCTATGCCCAGCTCGACCGTGGAGACCATGTTGCCTGGGAATGGCCCTCAAACAATGGTGGCTGGAAAGAGACCGAGGTGAAGAAGCTCATGAACTACATGGCCAAGCAGGGCTTCCTCTGCACGACCCTGCTGGATGGCTGCATGATGGGCGTGACCACACCGGACACGGGGGAGGCAATGAAGAAGCAGTGGCGAATCGTGACGACCTGCCCCTGCCTTAAGAAAGCCTTGTCTGTTCGGTGCGACAAGACACATGGACACGCCGAATGTATTGGCCATGGCCGTGCTTTGAGTTCTGGCTTCTACCCGGTGAAGATGTGCAAAACCATTGCCCAGGTTGTGCTGACCTCTGGCTATGAATCGGCAAAGCTGGTCGAGGACTGGGTCTACGGGCTTCAAGAAGAACCGCTGCTCCAAGGAAAGCTTACACCGGAAGATCGAAAGAAGGCAGTGGCCCTGGTACATCGTCTACATGTTCGTGCCGGACATCCGTCGAAGAAGCTGCTTGCCAATGTTCTTCGTGCCCGTGGTGCTCACCCAGAGGTGGTCAAGATTGCCTTGGAGCACGAGTGTGCCGACTGCCAGGAGATGAGACTTCCATCTTTGTCCCAGAGTGTGTCGCTGCAGCAGAGTGATACTCCATGGAAGGTCATCCAGATCGACAATGCCGAGCTTCGTGTGGAAGACAAGGTGACGCACTTCATGGTGATCACCGACGAGGCCACCCACTACATGAAGGTGGTCAAGCTGTTCGAGCGCGACGTCCAGGAGGGCCGCAACGCCACTGCCGAGGAGGCCATTCTTGCAATTGAGCAGAGCTGGGTCCAGTCCTATGGCTTCCCCGACCGGATACGGCTCGATCCTGAAGGACGCTTTCGTTCTGAGCCCTTGAAGATTGGGCAGCTGACCGAGGTGTGGAGATGACACCCTGTCCGGCTGAAGCTCACAACCAGATCGGCCAAGTTGAGTCGCTGATTGGCAAGGTGAAGCAAGATGCCATCACCCTCCTCTCCGGCATGCCGATCGGTGCTCATCGAGCTCAAGGATTCAGTCCGGTCCAATGGGCTTTTGGGCGGGATTTCAATCCTGAAGGCCGTCTGTTCGACACCGAGCAGGGCGTCCCTTTTCTCCAGAACTCCACAACTCCTGGACACACCTTCTATGACCAGATGAGCGTAAGGCAAGCTGCGGAAGACATCTCGAGGAGGTCCCAGGCCACCTACCAGTTGGGCCGTTTGCTCAACATGCGGACGAGGAGGACTACAAGGTTCGTCCCCGGAGACTTGGTGTTTTACCGCCGAGTGCAACCTCCTGCTGATATCCCGGCTCACCCTGGACTTGGCTTTGCAAAGGTTGGTCAGGGGAGGTGGTTTGGCCCAGCTAGAGTCCTTGCCAGCGAGACGAGAACGGACGCCCAAGGACAAGAACGACGGCCAGCACACACGGTCTGGATCACCGCAAACGGCCGGTTGAAGCGATGCGCCCCTGAGCAGCTACGCCACGCTTCCGATAGGGAAGCTGCCATCGCTGAGGCCTCTGAGACGGTGACTCCGACGTGGACTTTCCACAGCCTACTCCAGCAGCTCAACCCGCGTGCCTACGACGTCTACGACGACCACGTGTTCCCTGAGGACATACGAGTTCGACCTGCACGAGCACGTTCTCGAACACCAGCTCATGAAGGTGAAGGACGAGGACAACCGGAAGAAGAACAAAGAACGAGGTCACGGACACCGGCGAGAGACGACAAAGCTCCAGAAGCGGCTCCAGTTGAAGACCAACCGGAAGAAGGACAAAGAACCAGGTCACGGACACCGGGTGAGCAGACCAGCACTGGTCGCAAGGTACGTGGTCCAGACAGGATCGGTCCTTTGAGGAATCCTGTCACGCCTTCTACATCTTCCACACAGCCTGACCCGAGTACCGTGACCACTGACGGCCCGAGGTACTTGAACGACCCGAGCTACGACCCAACGTTGTTCAGGTTCCTGCAGGACGAGCAGGCTCGACAAGGAGGAGCTGACCTACAGCGCCAACCCCTGTTCAAGAAGCAGAAGCAGGCTCACACGCAGCGCGCGCAGCAAGGCTCCCGTCCCGCTTCGACGACCCGAACGACTTCCTTGCCTCCGGCCTCGGCGACTCAGGTAGCGGAGGGCTACGTGACACAGCCAGAGGAGGCCAGCCAGGACTTCTACGTGGACGTGCGCGAGAATGAGCTGGTGATGTGTGCCATAGAGCTTCCTGTTCCTAACAAGGAGTCTGAATGGAAGCGCCTGAAGCGTGATGCCTCTGCTTGGATGGCAAAGGGACTTCGAAAACAAGAAGTCTCGTACAGCAAGCTTGATCAGGAGGGCCGCAAAGGCTTCGACAAGGCTAAGGAGAATGAGGTCACTCAATGGATCCAGGAAGCTGCAGCAAAGCGCATCGAAGGGTACGTGCCGAGGCATCGTATCATGCGCATGAGGTGGGTCCTTACGTACAAGGAGACCGGTGCCCCGAAAGCGAGAATAGTCATAGTTGGCTACGAAGATCCGGACATAACGTCCCTGGTCTCGAGTTCTCCAACGATGTCTAGACGCACGCGGCAACTTGTTTTCCAGCAAGCCGCCTTGCGGTCGTGGCGTACGTTAAAGGCCGATGTAAAATCGGCTTTCCTCCAGACCGCTCCCACGCAGCTTTCCAGAGCCGTGTTCGCGCGGCCGGTTCCTGAACTCGCGAAAGCGATGAACCTCAAAGAAGGGCAGACCATACAGCTCGCAAAGGCGGCGTATGGGTTGATAAACGCTCCGGCCGAGTGGCACCGGGATATAAATCGCACGCTAACCTCTCTTGGTTTTAACCAACTACGCACGGAACCGTGCTGTTGGAAATACGTGCGGTACGAGAATGGAGTTCCACGCCTTTTAGGCGTCGTGTGCGCCCACGTTGATGACTTTATCATTACAGGATGTGAGCAGGATCCTGAGTGGGTCGCAGCAGTCTCCGGATTCCATTCAAAATATCGTTTCTCCCCATGGGAGTGTGTGAACTACAATCACTGCGGAGTGGCCGTTCGCGAGGGCAACAGTGAGTTCATCCTTGATCAGTCGACCTACTGCTCTCAGATCGAGGAGATCAAGTTTGAAGCCCGAAACGAAGACGATCTGGCCACAAAAGATGAGATCACACAACTCCGAGGAGTACTTGGTGCCGTTCAATGGCGCGCTTATAGCACTGCCCCTCAGCTCCTGGTGCAGTTAAGCATGCTGCAGTCCATGATCAGCAAGGCCACAGTGAAAACTCTGAAGCTGGCAAACAAGCTCGTGCGAGAGGCGTTCCACAATCGCTTCCAGCACATACGCATCACTGGTCTGGATGGCCTAGACCCAGAGGAGGTGAACTTCGTTGCCTGGAGTGATGCTGCAGTCGGCAATAGGCCAGACTTTGGATCAACCGGTGGCTACCTGGTCTGTGCGACCACGCCAGCCATGCTGAAAGGAGAAGCCGCTCCTGTGACTCCTGTGAGCTGGAGATCTGGGCGCCTGCAGAGAGTGGCCAGGTCTTCGCTGGCTGCAGAGACTCAAGCAGCTAGTGAGGCAGAGGAGGAACTCATGATGGTCCGCTTGCAATGGTGCGAGATGCTCGGCTACGAGGTCGATTTGAAGCGCCCCGGCAAGGACATCCAGAAGGTTCCGGCGGCCCTGGTCACGGATGCGAAGAGCCTCTACGACGTGCTCATCAAGGAGGACCTGAACACGACGGCGGCGGGCCTCAAGGAGAAGTACTCGGCTTTGGAGCTTCTTTCTTTGTCTGAGCGGCTTCGTGAAGGAAAGACCTGGCGTTCGTTGGGTGAACTCCGACGCACAGGTGGCGGACGCGCTGACGAAGCCGACCCAAGGAGGTTCCCTACAGCAACTCTTGTCGACAGGGAGGTGGAGACTCGTCTACGACCCTAGCTTCACCAGTGCAAAACGTCTAAGACGACACTGAGAACCCGTTTCGGCAGTGGGCTTTTGGGCGGCAAGAGATCCAAGGATTTCAGCCTTTTCTGTGTGAACTCTTGTGCAGCCTTTCACGAGTTCTGCAGTGCCACGCCTGCTTGCATGCCGACCTTTTGCTCAAATTCCTTTAGGGAACCCTTTGGCCAGTTTTTCCATTGCACATGGAGATTGCTACGTGTTGCGCTCTGAGGCGCTGAAAACAAAGGTCAGCCGCTGCAAGTGCTGGTGAGTTGCGCTTTGCAAGGGCTGCATTGAAGCTTCGTTTAGCAGGAGCTGTGTTGCTACCAGAAGTGCCTTGAGGAGTGATTGATGTCTTTGGGGCAGCAACAGCTGCAGCGCCGGATGGACTGTAACTGCTACTCTGTGCAAGTAGTCGCCTGTCCATCAGGGAAGGATGCTGCTCCCAGTCATCTTGACACCATTGCAAAATACTTACTTTTGGTTAGCTGGGAATGAAGGAATGGAAAAGACAATGGAAACTATCAGAATGGGTTAAGTTATATAGGGACTACTATAACGATCCATTCCTTCATTCCTAGCTAAGCAAAGATGAGAATGAGGAGCTTCGAAGCTTTTAGGGAGAATGCCCATGCTGCCAAGGTGAGCGGGAGCTGCCCAAGGCTACGCAGTCTGCTTCAGGGTCTGGTGCCTTTTGTTACGATTTGCAATGTCATTGGATCCTTGAGACATCCTCGGTTTTCGGTGCTCGGGCCTTCAGACTTGCAACCTTCTAAGTGTTTCAGTGAAGCTTCTGCAGGCTTCAAATGTCTAGCACCGGTAGACCCGTTTATGTCGTCCGGGGGCTTTCTTACGTCGCTGATTGGTCGAGTGATTTCAGCATGGCCTGGAACAAGTGTCTTCAAAGCTAAATGGTAGTTTCCATAAATAGGGGGACCCCAATATAGATCCCAAAATACTATAGTCCGTATCATACGGACCCCCCAAAAGGTAGCCCTAATTCTGGAAACTACCAAGTACAAAAGGTCCTCGCTTTTTGACCGCACGTCGAGGTGAGATCTTGAGGTTTCTCACAGTCCTCCGTTGCTTCATGTAAGCCATAGTCTACACTACACTCCTTAAAGGAGGCTATAAGAGGGGACTGCTACAGGGGTAGTTACGGGGGATACTAGGAGTTTAGACCCTGAACCCTAAACCCTAAACCCTAAACCTATACGGTAAGAACCCCGTGTCGTTAGCGGCAGACATCAAAAGTCCGAGGGGTTGTAAAAAAAAGAAACTATACTATAGTGGTCATTAAGGGGGATACTTGGAGCTTAGAATATGGCTCATGTAGATGTCTATTGCGCTTCCCGCGACTTATTGCAAGGCTCGACGGCTGCCGCAGAGCAAACTCCAGGGAGGCAGGCCCTCACATACCCTAAACCCTATAGTCCCTCTTTAAGATCCCTTAAGTAGATAGAATATTGCTGTGGGTATATTACAATAAAATCATCCTTTTTCCCCATATTCTATTTACTTCAGGGGGACTATAACCCCAACCCTAAGACAGTACTTGCTGAAGTAGGTGGCAGGTTCAATGAAGAAAGAGGCAGTTACAATATTGCTCGTTCAGCCGTGACGGAACTCAGAAGCAGATTAGTACCGCACAGCTAAGTTAAGCTTGCATGCATCCTTAGCTTATTCGTGCTTTTAGTAAAGCCTACTATCCAAAGCAGCTGAATCCAGCGACCGCTGTGAGATGAAACAGACCTTGAGAGGCTTTTTGGAGTCCTTCTTACAGTCTGACGCATGCACGCGGCTCAGTCCAGCGAAGATATCTCCATGTTTGTAGATCTCCAGGCGAGGCAGGAACGAACGAAGAGTTCAAGGAAAGGGTTAGTTCGCCATTGGGCAATGCACGCAGGCGTGTGGCAAGTCTTGAAACCAGGTTTTAAGTGGTCTGCGTTGGTTGATCCATGGCTCTACTAGGAATGACTTCAAGCATCGCTGATGCTTGGCATGATTGGAACTCCTGAGGGATGAGGTCTTGAGATTCTCAGACTTGGCCTGCCGGCCAGCGGCATGCAGAAGACCAAAGCAGAAGGCAGCACGGAAAGCAGGAAAGCGCCAAACAAGAGACAGACAGGCACGGCAGCAAGATGATACGCACAAAAGGCGAAGGTTTGCCTATTACAAAGGGGATTTGCTGGGCCACTAGCAAACTGATAACCGAATGAGTCAGTCTTCCGACTTGATATCAAGGCGGTTTCAATACTCGATGCGATTGCTCCGAAGCAAGGCCATTGTTGAGAGTTTGCTGTTGCTGATGGCTATGGCATGCTGCCACGTGCGGATTCTTTGTTGACATGCATTCCATGCTCATCAGGCTGCGACGTTTGCTTGTGTGCAGACACATGCTTTACGAGTATGTTGACGTCTTGACATTGCGACATGCTATGCGTGCCCTGAGCGTGGAGATGCCACATGAGTGGAAAATCGAATGCTTTCCGCTGGGTGAGTTGTACATTCAATGCTGTTTGCTTTTCGAGCATATTACTGGAAACGCGTGATATGGAATCCTCAGAGGTCACTCTGCCAGACATGATCCTCAATTCCCCTATAGCCTGATGCCAGTTTCTCTGATGAGCGCCAGAAGTACAGAACGCACAAGACTCGTCGTGATGACTTACTGGAGGACGCCTGCAGCTGTTTGGTTTCCAAGCTAGCTTCCAGTTGTCCACGGCATGTATATCAGCAAGGAGCTTTTTGCAGCACATGATCTGAACAAGAACGGTCTGCTCGAGGTGGGCATCCGGATCAGGGATCACCCAGGCTTGTTTCTGAAAGATTCTGGGGGTCCTACAAGTGACGCGGGCCTCTTAGCCATCCATCAGTCACACACCACTTCTCAGCCGGTAGTTCCATCATGGCTGCGGACCATAACGTGATACCCTTTTGAAGAAGAGAAACTGGCGGTGAGCATCATGTCAGGAGTTGGAGTTGATCCAGTTGAACAAGAAGATTGTTCTGCCATGCGCTAAGCAATAGAATGCTTTTTCTGTCTTCTTTGGTGTCCACTGCCGGTAGCCCTGGATTGGAACTCCGTAAGTGTGGACTCAACAGTGAGGGAATGATTTCAGGCTTCATTATGGTCGCAATGCGGATATGGATGCTGTCAAGACCAAGTACCAGGCCCGCAGATTCAGAAGGCACGCGTGCAACTCCGGCAAGGCTTCAAACGGCCCGTGTGTCAGGATATCTTTCGCCGGAACCTGAATGTCAATGGGGACCCAATTAACTTCCCTGTCTTCCGCGAGTACATTCAGCAGGCCGGTCAGGAAACATGTCTGCTGCTGGCTGGTACCAGGATTGGCACGAAGCCGTCAAAATCATTGTCGAAATTCCTCGAGCCATGCACAAGGTCCTGAACTCCATCGATACCGATCCTGCTGCCCAGGAGATGATATTAGAGCTTGAGTCTCAGGCATCAAATCACCCCGTTACCGCACTGCAAAGCACAGGACAGCGATATTTGGAGTTCCATCTGTGCTGGCATGTCGTCATTCATTGAGCCCGTTCGCGAAAGGCCTTTTTCCTAGCTTTGCTGCCTCCAAGGCAGTGGCTGGCAGAAGCTCAGGCTGCGTGGATCCTGGTGGATGACAGAGCAGTCATGGGATCCGACTCAAGATGATTTCAGTCTCTATTCTTACGCATACTCTGTCTGTGTGCAGGGTGGAGTGTAGCAGATCCCTTTCTTGACAGCCAGTTGCGATCTTCCAAGCCAAGGCCCGGCTCATGTTCCACATGCCATCCGCGATGAGCGTGTCGGTAGCACCCTCAGGGATGTTTCCATACGTCAAAGCTGGCTTCGCTGTGACAGAGAACCCTCCCTGATTCGGTGTGTTGGGAGGTTTTGGGCAACCTGATGGGGATCTCTGAAACATGCCGGCGTGGTGATCACGTCGCATGCGGGGGGCCTCTTGTGGGGAAGGTCACATTCCCACACGTTTTGAGCTTCCTAGATCGCAAAACAGTGACTCGCCTGCATGGACGGGGGCCTCTGGTGGGAGAATCCCATTTCCAAATTCTCGAGTACTTCAAAATTGCGAAGCTCTGATGCGGGGGGCTTCATGCAGTATTTCTCCAGCACCATCCCTTGCGTCTCGCAAACTTTCTTCATGCTTGACTGAGGATCTGCCCTTCTTGGCCACCATCTCATTTGACCAGGCAGCGTGCATTTGACATGTTCCCGCTGCATTCTCGTAACAGCACCTACAAAGGCATCATTCATGAATATGGGGATAACGGAAAAGAAAATGGAAACCACTATAGTATATTTGGGTTATATTGGGGTAATGTAGGGATAATGGAAAAGAAAACGGAAACTACTAGGTCAACAAGAGAATTCGCAGAACATGCGAAGCGTGGACGGAATGACAGAAGTGCCACTGGTATGTGGCCACGCAGAAGCAACGCCAGCTGCCCATGGTGGATCAGCAAAACAAGTCCCCTGCAATTTGCACGCGATTGCGCTACCCCCAAACATCACTATGACCTCATCTCCGCTACCGATTGTGCTCAGACCATTATCACGCTCACTTCCTGACTGCTCCTTGATGCTTGCTGCGGATCTTAAGAACTGGCAGCAACTTGCACCTTGTGGTAGTTTCTCTAAGTAGGGGGACTCCAGTATAGACCCAACAAAATTATAATCCTCATCGTATGAACCCAACGTACCCCGCGATTCTGGGAGACCTTCTTATTGAAGACTCTATGCTTATCCATTTCATTTTCCAGTCTTGATGGCAATACCCCGAAATAGTCCCCTCATAAACCCAAATAATCCCCTAAACTAGCCCTAGATCCTGAACCTTTATAATCCGCAGGACGATCTTCAGAACAAGCCTGTAAGCTTGGAGCCCAGTCGACGGAGTCACCACCTGAAGCGTGGTTGGTCGCCCCATAGAGGGGATGTGTGAGTCATTGAGGGCGATACTAGGCGTCATGTGCGCATATGGGTTTCTCTCAAACTTGGGGCCTATTTTGGGCTCATAACAGGGATTATGGATTCATTGGGATCCCCTTCTTGATGAAACTGCCACAAGTTCTGAACTCCTTGGTCTTGGTACTTGAGGCCGACGCTCTGTGGATACTGTGTCCACTACGGCCTCGGCTTCCATGTACGGAGCTTGGAAATGGCGTGGGCCCCTCTAACCCTATATGGTGGTTGTCAAACTTATGGTCCCTTTTCGGATCCCCATTATAATACGGCACCTAATATTTAGGGTACCCAAAGGGGGACCACAATTTTGACAACCACCCATATGACCTTACATAATCTTCTATCTCCTCATACATACCTATATAAACCTTTAGTCTCTGAGATCCTGAAGCCCTGAAGGGGTTTCCTTGTTCCGCTAGCCGAGGCCGGTGGTGACGTCGCGAGCACCGGCCACAGCCCTAGCTGGACCGGGGGGTTGAGTAGTATTTTATTTGGGG